ACGCATTTAACATAAATACATATGCATACATACTCACACCCACACATACAAATATATTAACTCATAAAAATCCCAAGTCCATCATTTGAAGGAGCAAATATTACACATGTTATATTATACGTACTTACATGATATGCACAATTGTCATATATTTACATATCTAATATTTAAACTTACATATTTATATTCCAACACTAAAACTTTATAAATCAAACAAAAAAACAAAAGTGTGATGATATAAATAAGAAAATGGTAAGTGTCACATATACATGAGAACATTTAAAGTTGATGGTATGTACCCAAAATGCCTAGAAATTATGATAATCTCAAAACTATTAAAAAAATACATGAAATTACAATAACCATAATCCGGTTAAACTCATTAACCACACTTTGATCAAAGCATGGTCCGGGAAGCCCTTCTAACCAAAACCAACCAACACAAAACCCTATAAAGAAAGAAGAAACCACACATAACCCCAACATTGACCCACCTAATATCCTTCTCCAACCCCCTGCTCCTCAGCGCATCTCCACCGTTCATCAAACAAACCGTCCCCTGCTCTCCTCCCAACCATTTAAAACATCTCTGCCTATCACTCCAATACTCGTTCACCAGCAAGGCATCCAACGGATACCTGTACAGCGATGCGTAGTACATAAAAAGCCAGAACTTTGGCAGGCTTTCCTTCCCTATAAAATACCCAGAAAACAAAAAGAAAAACCCTAAAAAAACGCAGATTAAATAGTTCCCCACCACGTAATCAGACGCCACCGCGCTCAGAAACAGAACCAGGGAGCTCGCCATCAGGACTATCAGCCATACCGCCATTATAAAGAACAGGAAAGCGTAGACATTTGGGTTTAAACCAACCAGCCAGTAAGCAGGAACTGCGAAGAGGATGGCCACCACGAGCAAGAAAGGAATGGTGACAACTGCATTGGCTATCATGTATGAAGAAAGTCGGTACATTTTTCTGGAAGACTCTCTCATTAAAACTCTGCGCTCCTGTAAGAATATGGGCAGAGCTTCAACAGTGGAGGAGAGGAGGAAGCTGAGGGTGAAGGCTAAGAATCCGAGCCTCTCTGCAACTCCGGCCTCGTCTGCTTTCAGTCTAAGGTAAACGCTGCCGAGACTGAAGCCTCCCACGATGGCTTGCGCTGTTCTGGCTAAAAAAAGCTGTTTTGTTCTGTACATGATTTTCCAAAACCTCCATGAGAGTGAACCCACTTCATCGAACCTGGAGATGTAGTTTTTGCGCTTTTTGATTACGGAGGGGTGTTGGGGATGTTGATTGGAGAGATCTAAATCGGTGAATTGATTGGGGGAATTGTACTGCTCTTCTAACTGAAGGATGATCTCCATTGCCAGTTCTAAGGGGTTGAGTTGGCGGGGGATGGTGAAGCCGAGGTTGGAGATGGAGGTTTTGAGGGATGAGAGATTGCCGAAGTGGGCGGCTCTGCCGCGGGAGAGGAGGAGGAAAGTGGAGATGTGTTTGAGGATTCGGTAGCTTGGTTGGTGGATGGTGAGGATCAAAATTTGATTTTTTTGGGCGGAGAGGGAGGTGAGGAGGTGGATGAGTTGGAGGGCAGAAGAGCTGTCGAGACCGGAGGTGGGTTCGTCGAGGAGAAGGATGGGGGGGTTGTGGATGATGTCGACGCCGATGGAGACGCGCTTCTTTTCGCCGCCGGAGATGCCGCGGGTCTCTTCGTCGCCGATGAAGGAGTCGGCGATGTGCGCCAGGCCCAGTTCCTGTATTTTTATGTTTGGATGGGATCAAGTCGATTTT